CGACTTGGTTTTTTTCTATAGAATTTGCCTTGTGCGTGATCGTGTGAGTACTTCTCATCAAACACGCTGATACTCCTGCACTGCAGTCTTGCCGCACACTGTCTATAAGACCTAGTAATCTTATGTACTGTGTTCTACACGGTTGCATTTTTAGTTGATATTTTGTTTGGTACTTGCCTGGTACGTACCTATGGGTCATAAATTAGAGAGGGGTGTGCATAGTAGATAGTAGTGCATCGATTCGAAAAATCATACCGTACAGTATTCCATATTCCTTCATTATCTATCCGTGATTTAGGCTCACAATCAATCCCAAAATAAACAATAAAAAATCAGCTTCAGGAATTTTTTCCATTCTTATTTTTACTGAATAATACTAGTAAAACTATCCAACTTTTTAAGTACTAGGTCATGTACTAGTCATAACTTGATCAAAAATAGTAATACTACAGATATCATAACAAGTGATCGCCATAGTAGTACTAAGAAATTGGTTCCCATGGTTAATTTACTACTAATGATGCCATCCACCAGTACTAGTAGTGACAGGTGTTCTTGATGGTGGAAATTTTGAAATATTAAACAATGATATTGTATCTGCACTACTAGTAGCAGTAGTGGTAAGGCGCCATAATAGAAATTTTCATTGATTTGTACGTAGTCTTTTTTGTGTGGAGGGGGGGAGAAGAGAAATGGAGACAGGAAAATTAAAAAATTGGTGACAGCCATAGTAATAGATTTCCAATATCTTGCCAGCATAGGGCTTCTTGCCTTCAGTAGTAGCTAGTACTAGCTCTAGTTCAGTTACCATATGCTACCTCCCACCCTGTGCATGAGGGTTCAAATCAAAAATATGGGTGTGCAACTCATCCAAAAAACATATTCCATGTGTGTCCAGAATTGAAAAATGTCCCCCAGGAATATTTAAATTTCAATTTTACTGCATAATACAGCTACTAGTACTAGTAGTACTAGTACTAGTACTAAAGCTACTATTGTTAAGCTTTACAGTAGAAGTATCAAAAAGACTACTACTGCTGTATTGTATAGCATGGGCAACACATTTCCAGATGCATCAATTGTACATTTTTTGCAACAAAAACTAAGTTAGTGCCAGTAAGGTGAAAAGTAATGCTCTGAAAAGTATGTAGAAGCTAATCAATGAAAGCACTGTGGCTGTTTGTAATTTCTGACATATGGACATAGTAGTAGGAATGGAATTCATTCTTGATTTTTTGTGTATGTTGGGTATTGGTGGTGGTTTTTGGAAGGAGAAGAGGTGTTCTTTCAAACAGACAACTGCTACTAGTACTACTACTAGAAGTTTTAAGCAACTCTTGAAAGCACAACAACATTAGAAATCCAATAGCTTGTGTAAGAACAACAAAGTTGAAACCAACACATTTTCCAAAGATCTTCCCTGTAATTTGTGAACAGTTCTTGTGTGGNTATATATATATATATATATATCATACGATCCAGCGTACCAAGGATCCTAAGAGGTCCAAGATATATGAGGTACGATTTGAGAATACTTTACAAAGAACAAAGATGTCACGAGTCCGGAATAGAAGAACCCTCATGTAGATTCAGTACCAGATCTACACAGGGATCTAATCAGAACTCTGGAATTCTCGTGAACGCCCACGATAATCTTCCCGATAATCTTAATCTTATAATTTTGATTTCATACACACTTAAACATACTATGAGTACACGTATTGGGTGATTCCCGTAAACATAGAATCTATTCTGACATAAATCACATCTATGACTTAGTAACGGGAATAAATATGTAACTACATAGATTTGCGTGTCATAGACTATATCTCGCAAAATGTGCTTAATATGGAATAGGGAATTTTGCATTCTGGTGCCAGCAAGCGCCAAAAATTGAGAGCACATGGTGCCAGTGAGCACATCAAAAACACTTAGAATTGAGAACCCGTGACTTAAGAATTTTTGAATTGAGGATTCCAAAAAAAGTATGTTTTTCTTGCATGCTTTTGGTTGTCGAGAGCCTGCCTGCACCAAAAATCTATGTATCTGTGTCAAAAACACATACTTCTATGTGTGCACGTCTGAAGTCTTATATGATTTTACTTAAATCTATGTTTACGGGAATCACCCATTTTGTGGAGTAAGACAGCCTATTCTATGTTTACGGGAATGACCCAATTTAGGATGCTCTGGAACCATGTCAATTTCGATGTTTTTCGAAAAATTTAAATTCTCCAGTCCCCTTTTTTCCATTATGTGATCGGTTTTGATCACAAAAAAATGTGATCAGAAATGATCACAAAATTGATGAATTTCTTGATCACAATTTTTTGTGATCAGTTTTGATCACATTTTTTCCAACGGATTAGAATTAAGAATATGTACTTTATTCTTACATTAATATTTATATTGGATTTATATGATATAAATAAATACAATCATTTATGGTCATATTAGTAGCATGTCGCGTTAATTCTTAATAGGGCATATTACTATGTTGGTAATACAGGACTGGTGTACTATTAGTAGTAGTGCAGCAAGTACTAGTAGTACAAACGTGTAAAAATACTGTTATTATTTATATTAGGGTATTAAATTCATATAAAAACGGGACTAGTACAAAATGTACACAAGACAGTTCAAATTTGTGATCAAGATTGATCACAAAAAACTGATCACAAATTTGTTATTTCTGATCACATATTTTTGTGATCAAAACTGATCACAATTTTTGGTACCCAGAGGGGGACCTGGGAATCTATTTTTTTTCCAAAAAATTGAAATCGACATGGTTCCTGACTGGAACGTGCTGTAACGGGAATGGCAGAGGTTGGTTGATACCGTACCATACGATACAATTACCGTACCTTTTATTCAAATATTGATGGGTTGGGCGGAGTGAACAGCACGTGCTATGAACTCAAAATTTTGATTCCAGAGCGTTGGCCACATTCGCTGTTAATATGCTATGTTGCTACGTGTCGTATCACATGTTGACACGTTAACGCTGTCATGCCACTCATAAAAGAAACATTTGTCCAGTCATCATTATTTGATGATGTAATTTATTTTTGTTATTTTGATTGGCTATCTATGTATGTCATAAACCGTCAGCAATATATCGAATGAGCTGGAATTTTGTACACTTTCGAAATTCTCAACTTTCATAGATTCCGGATTCCAATAATATTTTGGAATCATCTTCGTAGGCTAGAGGACATTCCTTTAGATGATAAAGCGTATTTCAAGAACTTGAAGGAATCTAAAATTGAATCTTCAGGAAGAGATCAGGGATCTTAAGTACCATTCATCTTCTCAAACACGAATCACAATGAGTCAGAAAATTTAGAAGAACGTGGAAAGCCCTGAACCGTCAAATAATGTATGATTTTCCTCATGACGTGCAAATGATGAGATAGATCACTTATCCAAATCATTTATTTATCATAATAGTTCTGCATCAAAGTTCTCTACTTCCCACAAAGAATAGATCATTTTTGGATTCATTAATTATAAAAATTCTGAATGTTAAATACGTAAAATAGGCCTTTCGAAGAAGATTGACATCATAAAGGTTGCCGTGCGTCAGACACCAACGGCGTTCAAAGTTCCCGTAAAATGTTAGGTAGTAAATAATATGTTGCCTGGACTCTTGAAGTATAAATAGCATATTCACTTCCAAAGAATGAAAGTTCTCTGTTCGCGACCAACACTTTATTGTTCTTTGCCGCTACGTGGAGTTTTACACGTTTTTACTACGTGTTTTTTCCACATAAGTCAACCAATCAACGCAACGAAAAAGACTTTCAGAATGGAATCTGATTCTAATGCTAGCCCTGTACTGACGCTGTTACCAACAATGAAATTCATCCAAATTCATCCAAAAACTGTCTCAAAGTTTCTTCCCGTCGTAAATCACGGAAAAAGCCTTCTATTTTGCCACAATAAGAACTCACAGGAAAGTAGCACCAAACAGGGGTTCAGGATAGGAACTGTCGCGGTTGAATAAGATTGCTGCGACGCCAAATAGCCATTGCCGAAGAGAAAGCAGATCAGAGGAAGTCATCGGGTTCCATCCCTCCCATCAATCACTCATCGGGGTCACAATTCACACATGCTTACTCACACCATCCACTCGCATCGCACACACCACACCCACTACACCCACTCGCTCATACCGTACTAATATTCATCCAGCACTTAAGCACTGAATCACATCCTTAACACGATCAATCGTAAGTCTCATTGCATTTTCATGCATGTTGCTTTGAACCAGTCAAGGCGATGTTGCAAGGGGAAAATAAGCGTTCTTCTTGCTTGATTCGCGCAGAATAATGAAATCATCGATGTGTGCAAGTGGGGTTCGTTCGTTCGTTTTTCTCTTTTCCTTTTCGGTATTTCGAACATCATCACGTTGCTTAATTTCATAAACATTCACTGAACGCATAATTTTTACGACAGACTCAAAGCTTCAACTCAAAATTTAATTTTTTCATCAGCAACAATGACTTCAACAGAATGGTCTCAAGTTGATCCGTCTATTCAAGCCCTCGCTCCACACGCCTCGGAGGAGCTGTTTGGCGGCGACTTTCTTGGTGATGAACTAATGGACATTTACAACGCCGCAGTTGTAGGAGGAGGAGATGAAAATGATGACGATTTAAGCAAAGGTTAGTTCAACACTCCACACATCCTCTACTATTTTGTTGTTTTGAAAATGAACTGAATCTCTAAGAAATAATTTCTCCTCTTTCCAAAACAACATGTTTCGGATACAGAAATGTCATCGTTGCTTGATACTCCCACTGATGCCAAGAAACCCGAAGCCATAGACGATGGTTTTGGAGCCTTTCGGCCTTCTACGTCTTTCAATAATCTCTCCACAGCGCTCCTAGATCCCAACCCCGAATCCGCTACTCTCTCCATCGTGCCCACAGTGGAGCCTTCAAACGACGTACCTCCTGGATCAGTTTCAACACGAGTAATTTCTTCATCGAGCCTAGAACATAGCTTGGTTATTTCACCACCACAACCATTAGTTGCACCCACTAGTTCGATGGTGACTTACGTTACAACCCCTGGTGGTACAAAAAGAAAGAAAACCGTTGCTGCAAACGCTGGGCCCGACCTGAAACGCAAATCAGTAAGCGGTTCAAAGCAAAAGAAAAACGTGCAGAAAGGAGCCGCAACCAAGAAAGTTACCAAGAAGACTTCGTGCAATCCGCGAAAAGTGACAATTTCAAGCCCTGATCTCGCAACTACTTCCGTGGTTCCGAGAACGACGGTGCTTGCCCCTACTAAACCTATCTCACCTTCTGTCTCGGTCCATGCACCAGCCGCATCGATAAAGCAGGAGTCAGGACCAATTGCGACTTCTGCACAATCTAACTCAGCTTCACAGAGCAAGGCGTCCGCGGCTCCTCAGGCCGTTTCGTCTTCAGCTCCTGTTGCGGCCCCGGCCGCATCCGTTTTATCGAACCCCCCTACCGAAGCTGACTTTAAGTCTGTTGCACAAGCGGCCGTCAACAATCTCATCATGAACGCTGGGAGCAACAATACCGCCACAAAAAGTAAAAACGAGAAGACAACAGAAACACGCCCAAATTCTGTTCCAGTCCCATCAGCAACAAGTATACCGGTTGTAACACCAACAATCAGAGTTGACACCAGCACTGAGCATGTCAAGGCCCTGACAGGAAGCAACTGGGTTGCAGTTTGTGGTGGCGGTATTACTTCGACGGATTCGAACAATCAGAATAACAGTGACAAGCTGAATCGAGCGAGACGATCAAATCTTACACCAGATGAACGCGCGCGCCAAAACAGGGATCGGAATCGGGAGCACGCCCGAAATACTCGGCTGCGCAAGAAAGCGTATGTTGAAGAGCTCAAAGCTACTCTTTCTGCCTTAGTCACACAGCGAGACGCCGCCGAGCTCGAAAAACGTCACGCGTCCCAACGTGAACTGGAGCAGCGAGAAGTTCGTTTCCGCGTCCTAGAGGAATTTCTCAAGCTCCGTGGGCGGAATGAGGCAAATGCTGCTCGATGGGCGGCAATCTTGGAGGAAAATTTCACCCTAACGATGCCATTCGTCAACTTTCGAGACATGGTGCATTCAAACGATGGTAGCCCACGATACGAACAGGTCCTGACAGGCGTCGGTGAAGTCATGAACGATTCCACTTTGTTTTCGAACTTCCTACAAAATTTCTGCAAGCTCGGAAACAACGAACGCATAACGTGCGTGTACAATTGCGATCGCAGTAACTTTTTCATGGACAATTGTGTTGCTATGATGGACTGGACTGCTGCTACACATGGTGTTTCTGGGCAACGAGTTGAGTTGCTTCTGAAGGGTCAAATTCGTGCTAAGTTCAGCCCTGCCTCCAACAAGCTCATATCTGTCATCATGTCCTTTGACACTGGGGCGATAAACTCGCAACTCAATCTCATTGCACAAGCTAAGCAGTCGTCCGAAGCGGATGCCGCCGCCGCTGCAGCTCAGGTTGCTGCAAACGAAGCCGATGCCCTCCTAGACTCTTTGGAAATGCCTCATTTCGAACCTCCGAACTCTGGTTTTATTTCTTCCAGAAGTAACGTGGTGCCACCATCTTCTGGAAGCTCCGCCTCGAGTAACGATGATAAGGCAGTCATTTCTTCGGACGACGAATGAGGTGATCTGCTCTTGGATGATCAAGGCAAGAGAGGAGCGAATGTTGAATTATACCGAAGAGGACGGATTTTCTAAGGTCCGAATTCTCTACCGCTGTCCTACCCTTTCGAAAAGTTTTGCACCACCACCGTGATCGTGCCGGCATCTACACACTGGCAATGACCGATCTTCTTACTATCTTACAAACAAACAAACACGAAAAAACTGTCCACACGAGCATTTTGGAGCTCCTAAGCGAAAGTCGCAATCATTTTATTCCATTTCATCCATCCATTGTTGATTTCCAAGTTCTCTATTAGCTAGCAGCTACAAATTATCATACACTGACATATTCTACTCCGACGAACAGCTTGCTACTTTTGCGTTTCTATCAGGAAAAAATCATACTAAGAACTTCACGCACCCGGCTATAACAATTAAATGCACAATATCTGTATCTTGAATCATTTCCATTTGAGCTTCACGGCATGTACGGGCATTTGTTTCACTGCATGATGATTCATATTTCCAACTATCATGCACTCAACGAACTGAATTTTTTCGATCGGCATTGCTATCTTTCGTGTTTCATTACGCACAAGATCTCGAGCGCAAGTGATTGGGCTCCGCCGTATACTAACACAAAAATGTACGTCCCATTGCGCTTCGGAACGTAGGCCGATTTTTCCTTTGTTGAAAAATTATTACAAGCTGTATCTAGTTTCTCTCTCTACCTCTTTGCGTGTCTCGAGTAGCTCATAGATATCAGCTCTCTACGCGTACCATCTGAGCATTCCAAGGAGAATTATCGTCACATTACAGGCGTCGGAAAGAAAACAATAGTACAATGTTTGAAGTACGTACGGTACTTGCTTCCTAATTTGTAGCTCCTGTTACACCATCACCCGATTCTTCACTCATTATTAGGCGTGAAATCGCAAATGATCAGGAGTCTTTTTCTTTCCGTTGTGTTTCTTGTGAGCAATCCTTTTATGCTGATTTTTGTCACCGTCTGAGTCGTAATCTGAGGAGTCGGTGGATGACTCCCCAAAGGCTTTTTCCTTGTGGAAAATGCAACATCTTTTGGACGATTTTCTGCCCATTCCTTCGTTGTCGACAACGTTTTCGTCCCTGCGTAAACAGAAAATACCAACATTTTTAGGCATACCAGTCAGCAGACGCATTGCACAATCAATAGAGCTGTTACGGATCACGTGTGTATACCGGTACATAAAGAATGCATCCGTTGATTCACAAAACTATTGAACTCACCAAGTCACAGTAGGTCTATCAACTAATGTCAGGCGCAAAACTTGCTGAGGCTCCTCGTCAGTAACTGTCACCGTCGTGGTTCCTGACCCTACTGCGGTTGCAATTCTTGTAGATGTTCCCGCTGCCGTAGAAGAGGATACAGATTGCCCCGTCGCCGCTGTCCCTGTTACTGAATTCCCTGCAGTTGTCGAAGCGGGTGTTGTAGTTGTTGGATCCGACATGGTCTAGGGAGTATTGGTCATGGAGGTTGATGGCTATTTTGGAAAAATGACTTTACTGAGAAAGGCAAAGGTAGATTTAGAAGTCCGCTTGCACAAACGAGATGGGAGTCCTTCGAGTTGATCATAGACGCTGCTTTTTGATCAACATTTTTGTTTCGGGCTGCTCTTTTTTCTTGTTTCTCCAAATTTTTTGAAAAAGGCCTGTTAAAATTATTTTTTTGGAAAAAAGGCATGACCGACCACCCCCTTTTGAATCGTACCTGTACGCCCATGTACACTGGAAGTAACTGCTTATGGATCGATCTACTAAACGACCATCTAAAATGCTTCCAAATGAAGCTTTGTGACCATGATAAACCCCATCTACTATTGGCTACACAACAAGCTATAGTCGTGCCTATCTTTTTAAAGGCCCTGGCGCACAGATAAAGAAAGAATGCGGTATTTGGAATACTACTACTACGGGGAGGGGGGGGGATTTGTGCTGAATCGGATGAGTCAATGCCAGAGCCATGATGCCACCCAATTTAAGCCTTGGACTGAGCCAGTGTTTTTCTGCTGTATGGCCTTAAGAGCCCAACAAACAAGGTGATCTGTGGTGAGTCAATCTCCACATCCAGGGCTTCAGGGGCAAACTCAAAAGTATTGACTCAGTTTCTAGCGCAAGCCATAGACCTTAATGCCAAAATCAAGGCCTATGTCCCTGGGGAGGGGATAAAGCCCCCCTAAAGGGTGTACCCAAATCCTTGGACTGTCTGCTTGAGCTGTTTAACAGCATGTTCAAGCTGTAAACTAATATACTAGTAGCATATATGTATCATGTTTCTTGACCACTACCTTGCTGATTCAAATGCAGTGAGTCTCTGCATGCCAGGAGACGCTCATGAAGAAGAGATCCTGTAGGCCTCTACGTACACTGGAGGTAACAACTGCTTATGGATCAATTTTTTAAGTTACGGTGTGCTATCACAGGGTGCTACCGGTAGGGTAGGAGAACAGGCGGAGAACCAATACAATACAATTTGCATGATACTACTTGGTACCGTATGCTACCGTTACCTAATTTTTGCAACCAATATTGCAAAACGTTCAAAATTGGTGCATAACGTACCAAGGCTATTAGTATCCTTACTGGACCCACTCTATTTACTACTGTATTCACATGTTCTACATATTTTGTGGTAGGAATTCTACTAAGCACCCACCATATTAGCTCTTCGGTTTTGGTTGCTTCCATAACTACTATTCTGGTTGCTAAATAGTAGTACAATCCAATTTGTACGTAAAACAAAAGAACCATTTTGCAACTCCCACTTGAATATTCACTCCTGCACTGTACAGTATTGAGCCAACAAAGACTCAGATTTTTCTTTGCACTATTCGGCTCTTTGGTCACAAAGAAATGAAGAAGCTCCTAATAAGCAAATCAGCAAGCACCAACCAAGCAAATGCACCATGGTAGCAGCAACAGCAACAGCAACAGCAACAGCAACAGCACCAGGAACAGGAACAGGAACAAGATGCAAAGAAGCTCACAAACGACAGGAGAGGACCACCATCCCTCCACAAGATGTGACAAATCATTGGCAATGGCGTCAATACCACTTAGTGCTCCCTGAACTCATGGATTTTGTATAATAGTACTAGAGTGGATACTGGAGGCCCACCAAATGGAGATATGCAATTCCCTAGTGATTCTAGTACTCTGTTCATGCGCCAGCAGCTGAGCTAAATAACACCATTCGATCATATCTACAGGGCCCTCCGGAACCAACGCACGCGCGTCCCCCCTTTGAAATCAAATATCGGGGGTATGATTTCGTGGGTTTTTTTTCCCAAACAATAACCCACGTTTCTAAAACGT